CAAGGAGTTTTTAATCTTAGCATTCCACAATCGAACACTACATGCATTGAAGAGGACAATGTGGAAATTTAAATTTGAGGATAACCCCACAATAGATACCCCAACCAATTGATACACTTTCAATTTGTATACAGGTATCTAATCATAACAAATTTTGTCAAATAGATTACATATTCAAATCATCTGTCAAAAAAAAAATGTATGCGGCCTATTTAATTTCACGGTTTCCACTCTCTAGTATATATTCAAGGGAAAATTGCCGCAACGGTCTTTAACTTTTTCAATTTTTGCAAACTTTACCCTAATTTTCAATTTGTGCCAGGAAAGGTCCATAACTTTTCAGAAATATGCATCCGGAGTCCAAATGGATTAAAACCATCCAGTTGACCAAAAAATTTGATTTTGACCAAATTTGGTAAGGGCATTTATGTCAATCACATATTAAATTTAAAAATCAAATTAAGATAAAAACAATTACAAAGGAGAGAGAGAAAAGAAAAGAAAAGAAATAAAAATAAAAAATCATCTTCTTCCACATCTTACTCACCCCCACTCTCCACCCACAACAACCACCCCAAACCAATACCTAGAAAACAATTACCCAATCACCTACCTGCTATCGCTTACCAGTACCTGCCACTACTGCCCATTGCTAGCCACCATCGCAAACCAAAACCAATTTGAAAACCACAATCTTAAAAACCTACCAACCTCATCTCTTATCTTAGTCGGGATTGTAACAGTTTGAACACTTTCCAGATCCAGCAATCCGTTCTAACTTCTTAATAGAGTTAATGGACCCGAGCATATGGGGCTTTTTGATACCGGAGTGGAGGCTCTCATAGGAGTGGCCATTCTCGAGGGCTCTTGACTTGCTATCAAAGTCATTTCCGTCGCACTTATTCTCCACACTCCCTTTTTCTTGTCGGAAAACAAACCTATTTTCTCATTTACTCTTTAAACCCTTTTCTTCTTCCCTCTGCTCATCCCCATCTACAAAAGTTACAAAAACCCCTTCCCAAGAACCCCATAACTCCCATTCCTCTTCTTGGCTTAATAAATGGCCTTCCCGTCCTACTCTAGCCCCACCTTCCACTCCTCTTAAATATGGTTCCAAGAAACCTGACCAGAATTCGGATACAACTCATGTTGGAACTACAGCCATTGAGCGAATTGTACTTTGGTTGCGAAATCTTGGGCTTGGCGGTGATATAAATTCAAGTTTGAATTTTGATTTTAATTATTCGGAGAGATTGTTAGATGGGGAAGAAAGGTTGGGGGATTTGTTGAAGAGAGATTGGGGGAGATTCTTTGTGTTGTTGTTTGAGATGTTGATTTTCGTTTGCGGTGGTGGCCGGCGATGGCCGGTAGTGGTCGACAATAACATGTCAAAGGGTGGGTAAGTGTTTTTTGGGTTTTGGGGTTGGGGTAGTGGGAGGTGAGTGAGATGAGGAAGAAGAAGATTTTTTATTTTTATTTATTTTATTTTCTCTCTTTTTTTATTGTTTTTAGCTTGATTTGATTTTTAAAAGGTTTAATATGTGATTGACATAAATGCTCTTACCACATTTGGTCAAAATCAAATTTTTTGGTCAAGTAACAGTCAATTGGATGGTTTCCATCCATTTGGACTCTATATGCATATTTATGAAAGGTTGGAAACTGAATGTTAGAGTAAAGTTTGTAAAAATTGAAAAAGGTTAGGGACCGATGTTGCAATTTTCCCTATATTCAAAATAAATAGCAAAACTATTTTGATCCATTACCAAATCAAATCAATAGGTGGACATAATGAGATTGCATGCACTAAGCATTCGTATTCCAAGAACGGAAATCACAAATTGAATTTGTTATTATAACATAATATAATATGCACATAAACACACAAGGAAAAAAAAAAGTCTTAAAATTGTTGGTGAATATGCTAATTATATTTTGAAATATTAAACAAAATATGCCACTTACTTGGAATGGAAAAACGATGCAGGAATGAAGAACGAAACAAATAAATTGTAAATCGAGGTTAGTGTTTAACACAATCTTTATGACGAATTTTTCCAGCCAAGTGCTTACGGAATCTTGGCAATCATCTCCCAAAATAAAAGAGTTTCTCCTTATTGTAGAAGCACTTCAAATGACAATGAACAACAAACTCTTACTTTGAATGAGATTTTATGCAATAAAAACTTCAATTATGGTATGAATTAGACCATTAAAGGAGCCCAATTTATAGAGGTTGTGACCAGTGAGACATGTTCCAAAATTCAGCAAGTTTCATGAAGAGACACAGCTTCAGACTACTTGTCAACTGCTCACCGTACCGCTCGAGCAAAAATTTCAATAACTTGGCTGCTTGTAGCTTGCAAGGCGACCGCTCGAGTAGTTGTGTTATATGGCCATTTTTCCCTTTTTTGAACCTGACTTTGGACATCGATTTTCCATTCACTCGAAATTAGTTTTGTAGATCCAAATATACCACAATCGTTTACTCGATGAGTAGAACAAGTTAGTCTATTCATATGCGCAAATT